CTCGCTTAAATGAAAATGGTCTAACTGCTAACCTGTCTAAATGTGAATTCTGTAAGTTCAAAACTGAATTTTATGGTATGGTATTTTCTGAAGCAGGCATTGAGCTTGACCCTAAAAAGGTAGAAGCCATTGTATCCATGAAAGCACTGTGTAACGTCAGCGAAGTGCAGAGTCTGTTAGGTATGACTAATTATTGCGCTAGGTTCATCTCAAATTACTCCACCATTACCGCGCCCGTACGTCAGTTAACCCATAAAGACAATGTGTTTGCTTGGCATAAAGAGCAGCAATCTGCATTTGATGAAATTAAGAAAATATTAAGCTCATCACCCGTTGTTTCATATTTTGATGTAACTAAAGAAACTGAGCTCATAGTAGATGCATCACCTGTGGGGCTAGCTGGAATTCTTGTCCAGTATGAAACCAGTATGAGGGCAGTAGAAAACCCCAAGTTGTCGCTTATGGGAGCAGAGCGCTTACGCCGGTAGAACAGCGCTATAAAAGCCAACTAGAACGTGAAGCACTAGCGGTAGTGTGGGCCTGTGAGTACTTCCATGTGTACATATTTGGTGCCCCGATTCGCATAGTCACTGACCATAAGCCGTTAGTAACCCTATTCGGAAATCCCAACGCCAATTTACCATTACGGTTAGAGCGATTGGCGCTGCGTCTCTTGCCATACAAACCGACCATTGTGTATAAGATAGGCAAAGATAATCCGTCTGATTATCTGTCGCGCCATCCTCAAGATTCTAAACTAAGTTCACGTGAAGAGATTATCGCTGAAGAATATGTTAGTTTTGTAATGAATGAAAGCATTCCAAAAGCCATGACAGTCGACGAGGTCGTGAACGCAACAGAAAATGATCCAACGCTTAACGCTGTTAAAGATTTGCTGTCCACTAACAAATGGTACCTATTAGAAACAAAATACCGTGGTAATTCTAAAGTTGATTTTCAGGCACTTCAGTCATACAGTCGCATCAGCACAGAATTAACTATTAGTGAAAATGGGCTTATTCTACGTGGTACTAGGATCGTCATGCCCAAGGAGCTGCAAATGCGTGCAGTACAGATTGCCCATGAAGGGCATCAAGGGTTGGTTAAAACCAAAGCACTCTTAAGGGAGAAAATTTGGTTTCCGCAGTTAGACAATATGGTAGCTGATGTCGTAAATGAATGCATAGCATGTAAGGTATCATTCGACCCTAAACAGAGAGAACCCATTCAAATGACTGAATTACCCCCACGCAAATGGTCATGTTTGGCAGCGGACTTCTTCGGACCACTGCCTTCGGGAGAGCACTTACTAGTTATAGTCGATGAGTATTCTCGATTCCCAGAGGTAGAGATAATTAAATCCCTTTCAGCCAGTTCTGTCATCCCGATTTTTGATAAAGTGTTTTCATCAAGGGGTATCCCAGATAAACTGAAAACTGATAATGGAACACCCTTTCAAAGCGAAGAATTTAAAAGCTTTGCGAATTATTTAGGATTTCATCATCAAAAAGTTACTCTGTACAGGCCTGAGGCCAACGGGGCCGCAGAAAGGTTTATGAAAACTATTGGAAAATTTTGTAAATGCGCACAAGCCGAAAGCAGGCCATGGAAACAAGAACTTTATAAGTTCTTAAGGAACTATAGGGCTACACCCCACTCTTCGACGGGTGTTGCACCGGCTACTGTGTTAAATGGTCAGGTATTGAAAACTAAGTTACCCCAAGTATCTGTCGAAGAAAATGATATGGAATTTAGGGAACGCGATAAGTTAGCAAAACACAAAATGAAAGTCTATGCCGAGGGAAAACGTAATATCAAATCGTCAAGTGTAAACGTGGGTGACAAAGTTGTGCTAAAGAACATGTCACGATCTACAAAACATTCCCCCAAATTCCAACCTGAGCCTTTTCAAGTAATTGGTGTAAAAGGTTCTATGGTTACAGCTCGTCGTGGAAGAGAAGTTAAGGCTAGAAACATAAGTCATGTTAGGAAATTGAATCGGTCTATTGAGGGTTCAGAGAATTCTGATCGATCTGCTTGCAGACAGTGCCAGCACAAGCATGTCATACCCGTTCGATCTCCTCCGCCTAAAAGGGTTAGGAATGTTGATGAAAACTTTTCTGTTGATTTACCAGGTTGGTAAATCAGGTGTGGCAGTCATGTACTGTCTAATGGTACAACTCATTGTATTACAGTACATTGTATCATTAAGTACTACTTATTGTTGATATTTCAGTATGCCAACTGTTATTGTTGGTTTTGGGTTTTGCATTACTGTTGTACGGTAATGTACAGTAAAAGCCCTGGTGTTATTGTTATTGTTATGTTTTCATAATTATTTATTAAAAAAAAAAATAAAAAAAAAAGTCAAAAACAGATATATAAAACACCATTTTAATTGGAAACAGTCATTTAATCACATCTTCAGTAATAATTATCGTAATGTTTTAATGGAAAGTTTCACATGAATGATAACATAGTATGTATGTCACAATCACAAGTTTTTACAGTTCACCTATGTGTGTGTGATATACCACAGAAAACAAAGCTTAAAAACATTGTCTTTGAGTATGTACCTGTCTCTTATACACAGGTACTACTTGGGATATGTGCCGTTCATGCACGCGTGTACGCGCGGAGGAATATGATTAAATGAGTTATGTTCAAGACGACATGGCGTGTGTGCATTGTTGTTGATTGTCCATATAAACAACACTAAACCGATATAACCTTAAAAATTCTTGGAATTGACATAACATTACTGATTGATGTCGTACACACCCGTCAGTGTGAAATGTGGCTCTCTTTGCAAGCACATCTAACATCTAAGGAAAGAAGAGCTTAGATTGGTACCAGATAAAATAATTTTGTTATCAACAATAATATATTATGCTAATTTTCATCTTTGTAAGCGCATAAGACATTGCAAAGTATTTCTGTGACAGTCTTTTGAAGTGTGTAAAGCCCCATTTCATCCCATACATAGTCAAAATATGGGGGTCAAAAAATGGACCATCCCCCCCTTGCCAAATATTGGGGGGATATATCCCCATCCCCCCGGGATCTACGCCTATGGCGACTGCCTAGGGATCCCTGCGAGGGTGGGGCGAATCTTCTGGAAGCTCTGACAAATTAGCATTTTAAGGGCCCTTTTTAATGGATTTCTAAAATCCATAACTTGTAATATCCTATTTCAATTTTCATTCATTTGATAATTGTTTAGGGACCTACAGTAAAGCAGGAAAAATAGAGGGTGGGGGTGAAGGGAGGAACTTGCTCCGACAGATGGTCAATACCACCTCAGCCCCACCATGGTTGGGGCTTAGGTAAGAAAATTTATGATTATGGCACCTCAAAATGGCCGGAAATGGCACTCTCAGACAAACTTTAATTAGGCCTATGATTTTTCTTTTTTCTCCATTTCTTTTATAATTTTAGGGGCTCTCCCCCCCCCCCTTTGAATCCACCACTGTGGAATTGTAATTTTTCATGATCTTTACATCTGTAGGCCTAATGATGACATGGATCTGCAATCACTGGAGCTGATAATTTCCAACATATTTCGTAGCACATATTAAAAAATCAACGAGTAGAAGAGCGGGCAAAAAAATGTTATGCATATTATAGCATTTCGTGATAATTTTAGGAACGATTTTAGTGAAATAACAGGTTTTAAAAATTGGACTTTTTGAAGTTTGGTGGTCCAGGGGCAGAGGCCTGGAGGGAGTTTGTGAGAAAAGCGACAAAGTACATTTTGAGGGTTTTTACATAATAGATTTCTCAAACACATAATTCATGAATATTTCATTTAAATTTTCATTAATTTGGGTGTTTTTGGGGACCTGAAAAAGTAACGTTATTATGTCCTGTACACCTAAAGGCCTATAGATAACATTATTCATATTATATGGACAATCACCGGAGACGATCAATTTCTAACAAATTTCATACCACATTATTAAAAATCAACAGTTAGATAAGCCGGCAAATATATAATGCAATGCATGCTATAGCAGGGACGTAGCCAGGATTTTGAAAAGGAGCCGTTATGCGAATTACGAAGGACCCCGCCGGGGTCAAGGGGCGAATCCCCCTGTGAAGTAGCGCACTCTGAACATTCTTAGGACTGTTTGAGAGGATAAAGTGAAAATTGCAATAGACTCATTATAAATAAGCGCAAAATAATTACATAATAAATCAACAGCGGCAGATGCAATAATTCAAAAGAGAGGTGAACCAGGGAGGGAGATTTACAGACTGAGGAACCACTCACCTCAGCCCCACCATGGTTGGGAAGAGAAAATTTATGATTAGGGCATCTCTAGACGGCCGGAAATTACACTCTCGCACTTCAATTTGAATATGTTTTTCTTTTTTTTCCCTTACAAAATGAAGTGGGGGGGGGGCTTTGAATCCACCTCTGCTCAAAACATTCTTTATCCAGAATAGTCATAATCACAAAAAATGGACATGAAAAACCAGATCACATCCTAAAAACAAACAGCAGTCACTAAGACATACATCAGGAGCCATACACATCTAGATGTGTATAAGGATGGAGTTTAATGTCATACCCAGGGAAGGGCACAGATCTGTTTTGAAAGGTGGAGGGGGAGGGCATTTTGTGAGTCGACACCCACCTCAGCCACACCATGGTTGGAGCTGAGGTGATAACATTTGAGGAAATAGTACCTGTAGATGGCCAGAAATGATACTTTTAGTAAAATTCATCATCATCACATCACCATTAGTCAAAATAAGCGCCAAAAACAATTCTCATGATCTTTTATCAGGGATTTTTGACACCATAGAGATCTTATTAATGTGTGTGTGATATACCACAGAAAACAAAGCTTAAAAACATTGTCTTTGAGTATGTACTTTACATAGGCCTACTCCAAAAACGTGGTTTCACAACCACCTCAGCCCCACCATGGCTGGGGCTGAGGTGAGAAAATTTGAGGAAATAATACCTCTCGAGTTGGCCGGAAATGACACTTTTATATAGTAAAATTCATCATCATCACATCACCATTATAGTCAAAATGAAACGCCAACAAATTTCTCATGATCTTTTACCAGGGATATACTTAATATCTGGACAACTTAGGCCTAACTATAGCTTACTAAGCTTTAACTATATATACTATATTATGATCAACAAATCACAACTTTTTTTCGGATTTAGCACAATTTTCTTCACTTTTATTGCTATTAATATTATTATCAATTATTACTATCGTTATCATCATCATTGTTATTATTATTATTATTACTAGTAGTAGTAGTATTATTAAACAAAAATTTAAAGAAACTGGGAAAAGGATAAAAATGAAATTGAACCACAGTATCGCATTTCTATCTTAAAAGCCCTGGCCTGAGATTTATGGATTTAAGATTTTTTTTAATCACGCTTAGGCCTATGTGTTCCAATAGGCCTATGTATAACGTGTACTTATGCATATTTACATGTTTTAGAAGTATTCAT